CTCTCTCTCTCTCTCTCTCTCTCTCTCTCTCTCTCTCTCTCTCTCTCTCCCTCTCCTTTGCTACTGCAGATGTAGATGATTGTACCTTTTTACGTGTGTCAGCACCAGTCTCACTAGAGGCCTTTTCTGTCCTTGCTCCTGTGGCAGGTGGAGACCCCACAGTGGCTCCTGGTGGCCGTGGCTACATGATCTGGGGCAATGCCAAGTGGGAGGCTGGTACATGGCTGAGAACCTGCTGGGTCAGGGTCCGCCCATGAGCTGGCTTCTCCTAGTTCATTCTAATGCTCCTTGCTGTGGCCCACATGGTGTGGAATCAACGCCCTAATTATTTCTTAATAATTGAGAAATTCAACCTTTAAGTGATCGATAGTTGATGAAATGCAGCTGCAGCAGTGGCGAATTCCAGGCCCTGTGCAGAGAGTGTCGGACATGTCTCCCTCTGTCTGCCTAGTGTCTAGCTGGAAGCCCAGTGTGGGGGACGCAGGCGTGACTTTCCTATGCCACTCCCACCTGCCTAGGGCATGCGCCTTGACCTGTGGAAGCAGCGCTGTTTTGCTCCCAGGGAGTACATGAAAACTGTGGAGCCCCAGGTCCCAGCCACCCAGAGGTCAAGCCCAGACATCTGAGGGCCCAGCTACATCCTCCTGTGGCAGGACAGGCCCAGGCGGAGACAATCCTGTCCCTCTGCACCCATGAAGAGGTGGGATCTGTAGGCTGCAGGTCACAGAACCTGGAGGCCAGAGGTTGCAGAAGCCAGGGAACACTGTAGGGGTGGAGAGGGCTGGGGAAGTGGGGCCCTGAGATAGGTTGGGCCAGCTGAGGTGGAAACCAGCAGTTCTGTGGCGCTGGGCTGGGCCCGGACTAGCTGTAGGCCCCAGCCATCCCTTGCTCTCCTCCCAGAGTGCGGGGTCCCCGCCATCCCTCCTGAGCTGAGTGACCTGTCCAGGATTATCAATGGCCAGGATGCGGTTCCCGGATCATGGCCATGGATGGCATACCTACAAGTGATAAAGGTATGTGGGGAGTACCCTTGGGGATTGGCCAGGCTTGGGGGCTCTCCAGGCCACAGATGTAATTCTCTATTCCATCCTCTCCAGGGTGAAGATGTCTACCAATGTGGGGGCTCCCTCATCTGCAAGCACTGGGTGATCACTGCTGCCCACTGCTCCGTTGAGTGAGCAGGCACACTGTGCAGGGTGGGGTGGGGAGGTGAGTGGCCCGTGGTGTTCCCAGCCCCGCCTGTCTCTGTTTCCAGGACAACTGACAAGGTGTTTCTTGGGGTGTATGACCTGAGAGCTCCTGATAAGCACTGGCAAGAACTGGATGTTGAAGAGGTACCAGGCCACAGGACAGAAGCCGGGCCCTTGGAGGCGAACTGATGGCTGCTCCAGACCTCACTGGGTTGTGGTTGTCACCCTCAGGTTTTCATACACCCCAACTTCACCTTAGAGACAGTAAGCTATGACGTCGCCCTGATAAAGCTGGCCACACCTGCCCAGCTCAACGAGAGGGTGTCCCCCGTGTGCCTGCCCCGTCCCTGTGACCGCTTCCGTCCTGGGACTGAATGTGTCACCACTGGCTGGGGCTGGACGAGCGTTGACCGTGAGTGTGCCTGGGCCTTTCACAGCAGGGGCTGTCACTGGGTTGAGGAGCTGCCGGGGCAGCAGGAATCCCCAATGGGACCCGAATTTTTTTTTTTTAACTAAAAATGTATGAAGTAGCCTGACATGGTGGCACATGGCTGTAATCCCAGTGCTGTGAAGGCTGAGGTGGGAGGACTGCTGGGAGTTGAAGGCCAGAGTGAATCACATAGTAAGACAGTGTCTCACAAACTCAAGGTAAAAAAAAAAATCTATAAAGCAGAGTTATTAATTAGGAATAAGAACAAAGAATTAAAAATCTACTACACACAAATAACTTGAGGACTCCTGTCCAGGGCTCTCTTCTGTGAAGCTTTCTGTGAAGTATACCTCTATAACCAATGAGGGTGATCTCCCCAGGCTCTGGGTGAGGGGACAGGCTCTCACCCCACCCCTCCTGTCTCTGTAGCTCCTGACGCCTCCACCAAGCTGCAGCAGGCGGTCCTGCCTCTTGTATCCACCAAGGAGTGCAAGAAAATCTTTGGCGACCGGATCACTGACCAGATGATCTGCGCCGGGGCCAATGGCGTCTCCTCATGCATGGTATGGTCCTGGGGAACCAGGAGGGACACAGGGATACTGCACCCAACCTGGGCTCTCCCCTACCCTCCTCTACCTAGAAGGCCCCGCTGGTGCTAGCAGGTGCCCCGAAGCAGGACCTCTGGCCAGGGTCTTGCTGTGCTGTCCATGGAGCTCGGCCCTCCCTGCAGCCCCGGGAGCACAGGTTCAGCATGGGAAAGGCGACAGCCAGGCTCAGATTGGGGAAGCGACCTGCGCAGAACCTCCAGAGTAGATGATGCAGCTGGACTACATGGCACCTGAAATAAGTCACTTAGGCAGAGCCACTGTGCCCCCCTTGTCACCCCTCTGGCCCTCCTGACCTCAGCCAGCCCGGGAACTCTAGTGCATGGCACCCTTCAGGCTTGCAGTAAGGTCCTATCGCTCCCTGCAGGGTGACTCTGGTGGCCCCCTCATGTGCAAGAAGAATGGAGCCTGGACCCTGGTAGGCATTGTGTCCTGGGGCGACCTAACCTGCCCCACCTCTACTCCCCTCGTGTACAGTCGTGTCACTGCAGTCATGTCCTGGGTTTGGAAGATCCTGGCTCAATATCCATGTCCCTGCTTCAGCAAGCCCCAATAAAATCTTCTGTTCAGAAACACTGGCTGCATGTGTCTCACTGAATGACCCATGGGGACATGGGGTTACAGTTTTACATGTCATCCACCAAGCTTCCCTTACCATGCTGTAGGGCTTGGCTCAGACAGCTGAGGTCCTTCTTTGTCCTCCCACGCACAGTCCCCACATGGACTGCTTGAACTGGCTAGAGCCTGGGAGCTCCCTGGAAGGCAGGAAGCCCTGCCCAGGCTCTAATCAGTAGCCTTGAAGGGTCCCTGCCTCAGGACTAAAGCAGCTTCCAGTCAAGGCTTCTGTCTTCCACATGGTCTCTGGCCTCCTTTCTCTGCTGCAGCCTCCCTCCCTCCTGCCAGCACCCTGGAACCTGCCTTCACGCACATCCTGTCTGCAGCAGCCCCAGGCCCTGCTCACACTGCATGCAAACTCACTTACAAGCCCGGCACCTTCAGTGTGGCTGCAGCACACCCGCAGCTCACTTTCTGCCTTGTCCTTGGCATTTTCTGGGACGGAAGAGTTGGCTCTAGAGGACTAAGCACCCTCATTCCACTATGGCCAGGCAGGGCTGGAGACGGCAGTCCCTCCAGGGAACTGGGATTCCATCCCCATGCTGTGCTGGCTCTACCCCTGACATGCACGGAGAGAGTGACTGAGACTGGGTGTGGTGATGCTTGCCTGTAATCCCAGCACTTGGGAGGTTGAAAACAGGAGGATCACTACAGGTCTGATCTGTGCTGTGAAACCCTGTAGACCCTGTACTAAACACATAAAGAAAAAAAATGCGGATGCAACTTATCAGAACTTGTGGGATACAATGAAAGCTAACTTAAGAGGGAAATTTATAGTGGTAATAATCACATTAAGAAAATAGAGCTTTTTACCAAGATGGCGCC